AAAAAATGAGGAAACTCTTAAATAAATTGCCTAATATGACACTAGATAAAGGGAGCTAGATAAAGAACAAACTAAAGACAAAGTTAGAAAAAGTAAGGAAATAGCAAAGATGAGAACAATAATAGAGAAGAGAAACACCATAGAAAAAGTCAGTACAGCTGAGTTTGTCTTTGAAAAGAATAAATAAAATCTCAAACATAAAATCAGAAATCAAAGTACAGATATTACAACAGAATCCCCAGATATAAAACTGTACATAAGGGAGTGTTATGAATAATTATATGCCAAAAAACCTGGTAATGTAGAGGATGTGTATAAATTTTTAGAAAAATACACCTATCAAGATTGAATTAGGAGCAAATTTTCAAAAAAGAATTAATTACACTCTTCCAAAAAATAGAGATGGAGGGAATATCTGCTGACGCATTTTAAGAGGCCAATATCACCTTAATTACAAAACTTTAATTACACTCTTCCAAAAAATAGAGATGGAGGGAATATCTGCTAACGCATTTTAAGAGGCCAATATCACCTTGATATCAAAAGAAAGGAAAAGTTCAGTTCAATATCTCTGAAGAAACAGTCCATAAAATATTTGCAAACTGATGAACAATCAAAAAGTTTATACATCATGGTCAAGTGGGATTTATCGCTAGTATGCATGGTTGGTTTAAAATGTGCAAATCAATCAATGTGATGCATAACACTGTTAACTGTATAACTGACTGAATGACCAAGCCAAGTGATTATTTCATTTGGCCAGAAATAGGATTCAATAACGTTCACCATTTACACTTGATAAAACCACTCAACAGTGTAGATATAGAAGGACAGTGTTTCAATGTGATAAAGGCAATTTATTAAGAATTCATAGTTAACATCATAATCAGTGGTAAGAAACTAAAAACATTTCCTCTAAGACTTGGTAGAAGGCATAGATTTCCACTTCCAGCTCCTCCATTCAGCACAATATTGGTAGTCCTAGCCAGAACACTCAAACAAAAGAAAGAAAGGGCACTCAAACTGGAAAAGAGGATGTCAAATTGTCACTGTTTTCAGATGCCATAATCTTCCTGTAGAAAAATGCAAAGATTTCACCAAAAAACTATTGAAATTAATAAGTGAATTTAATAATGTGGAATACTAATCAACATAAAAATTGGTGACATCTCTGTATACAAATATTTTTACATTGTTAGCTTGCCTAATATATGTTCTTTCTTTTTAAAAAAATATTCATTTATTCACATGTGCATACATTGTTTAGGTCATATCTCCCCCTGCCCCCCTCCCCCCTCTCCTCCCATCACTTCCAGAAATAATCTATTCTTCCCTTATCTCTAATTTTGTTGAAGAGAAGACACAAACATAATAAGGAAGACAAAGTGTTTTTGCTAGTTGAGTTAAGGATAGCTATACAGAAATATTCCTAGCATTGTTTTCGTGTACCCATGTGTTACAACCCAAATTGATTTATCTCTAACTGATCTTTACACTGGTTACTGATCCCCTTCTCATGCTAACCTCTGTCGCTTTAAGGTTTCTGTATTAATTCCTCTGGAGTGGGGACATCAAATGCTCTCATGTTTTGGGTTTTCTACCTATTCCTATATCTCCTGTATGTGCTCTCCCCTTGTCTTGTGATCCAAGTCCAACCATATTGCTGCATTTGGCCTAGATCTAAAGTCCACATATGAGGGAGAACATATGATTTTTGGTCATCTGAGCCTGGCTAAACTTGCTCAAATGATGTTCTCCAGTTCCATCCATTTACTTGCAAACGATAAGATTTCATTATTCTTCACGGCTGAGTAAAATTTCATTGTATACAAGTACCACATTTTCTTGATCCATTCGTCAGTAGTGGGGCATCTTGGCTGTTTCCATAACTTGGCTATTGTGAATAGTGCTGCAATAAACATGGGTGT